ACTGGTACGTTCTCCCAACCAGAAGATTAGAGAATTCATTCTTCAACTCCAAATACAAGCTTCAAAGTGTAACTGTGGAGATCAGCTGCATACACAACTACATGATCGTCTAATTGCTGGAATCAATATTCCTAAGTTAGAGAAAGAGTTAATTCAGATTCCTTCTTGTACCTTTCAAACTGCTAAAGATTTATGTATTACATATGAAGATGTCAATAATGAATACTCTGCTCCCACTACGTCAGTATCTGATGTCATGCTTTCTAAAGTCGAAAATACAAGTGGTAATGGAAAGCAATCCAAACTGCCGTCCACAGGTAATAGAATTCAGCGAGAGATCAAAAACATTAAATCGTGTTTTTCCTGTGGAAAGTTACATCTACGAAGCACTTGCCGTTTTCGGAGTGCTAAGTGTCACATATGTGGTAAAGTTGGACACATCAAGACTGTTTGCAGAAGTTCTAATACTTATGTTACTCAGAATTCTTATAATTCTCCCAATCTATCTAGTAAAATGGAGTCAATGTGTCTTTCAACTTTTCAAAATACTCAATCTCATCCAATGAAAACCTCCACTACAAGTTCAGCAACTCAAGCGTCAACTGTTTCCAAAAATGAGGTAGCCGAGTTACAATGCGAACTGTCGAAAACACGGAAAAAACTGAATGAGATGAGAGAGCAACTGATTAAAATGGAGGAATTGTTGCATATGCATAGACTGCGTCTGTTGAATGCAGAGCATACAAGTACCCATGAAAGTCCTGCAAAACTATTCAAATCTCGAATTCTCAGAAAGCATCTGATGTCCAGGACTTCTAATGTACATTATTACAAAGGTAATGACTATAGACCTTCTGCTGGGATCATACTACAAAAAATGGGAAATCGAGTGGTGAAGATATTAGACATCAAAGATCACTCAGTTCATAACAGACACCTGGACAAAGTGACAATAAATGAAGTAGGTCGTTCCAATTATAATATTAATAATTCCGCTACTAATCCTGATTTAGTAGATAATTCTGAAATAAGTCCAGATAATACTGATGAAGATAATATCACAGAATCAGTTAGAACGTCTCAGCTACTTGCAAGCAAACCGAGACATCGTTATAAATACGCAAGGAGATATTCGACGTGTGGCGGATGTGGTGATTGACAATTTCTATCTCTGTATTGTTTAAGTACTTACTGTTGATTGCTAATATGTTTCATATATGAATTGCATTAGAATTCCGCTAAATACAAATTCCTGAATTCCGCCCTCTCTGTGTTTTGGTTGGATTCTTGTAATACGGTCATCTCGAAATACTAATACTACGATTACAATTAATTACTACACAATCGTTGTCCTTTCTAATTCGAACAGCCATATATGGAATGGAAGATAACTTGTGCGTATGATACTATCTTCATTGTTCGACTCCGCCATTCTTTTCAAGTACTCGTCGTTGCATTGAAAGCTGTTTTGTAGTTAGAATTGGGGGTTGCCGTTTATTTAAGGCACTTTGAGAAACGTAAGCTTTTCGTATTCTTTATAGATGTTTAGCTCTATTCCTTCAATACAAATACATTTTGCCGGAACGGATGCTCACAATTATTGGCATTTCATTCTTTTGCAGACCCATAACTCAACCAAACCCTTCACAAGAATTAAATAGTCAGATTTCAAGCGGGTAAGAAAATTTCTTTTTCATTCACTGATCCTGTATCCAAAGAAGTTTGGTTTCAGTTTCAAATAATATTAGAACGAAGTGAAAATATGATGAAAGGAATATGAAAATGAATACATTGGAAGAATTCATATGTACATCTATAACATGAAAGCTCCTCCTGTTTTCTGACCCGAGAAGAACTGAATTCGGGAAAAAACCATTCACAAAAAATGGAAATCTAGGAAACCAGTTAGGTAGGTAACCTGAACATATTCGAGATCGCTTGTATTTCGCTTCAACTAGAAATCACGCTCATGATTGTTATGTGTTTGTCAATCTGTGGAACTTGGGCTTTAACTCTATTACCTACTGACTCTTAAGCCTGGCTCACCAGATCTGGTGGCTAGACTCCCCTTAACACCGCCCCAATCAGCTAAGGGAGGATGTAACACTTACGGCGGATGAATGATGTATTTGCTGACGATGATCTGGAGGGGGTGTGCAATTAGACAATCACACCACAATGAGGCTGCAAATCTTTAGTCCCTTCAAAGTTATATTCACCACCGTATGTTCCCATTCGCACGGATAATCGAACCGAACATCGACAGTGAAACGGCTGACGAACTGATTTGATCCCCTACAGTAACACCATAAAAATATATAATGTCAGTAAACTGTTTTTTTATTCCCTCACGTTCCCAGTGGAACATAGGGCTTCAAACTAGTGCCTTTAAGTTTCTGTAGCAGTGTTTATTTTTACAGGATGGGGTTGCTAGCCTCATGCCCAACCTTTCCTCTTTATCACCATTATATCTGGCTTAGCGAGGTAAAGGAGTGCTTCGACCGAGGATCGAACCACGGACCATGTGCATGGTCGGCGAGCGCCCTGACGGCTGTGCCACCAACGCACCTGGCGAACTGTGTACCTCAAGTTTATCTAGTCTGTGAGCTCCACCAACATCATTGTCCATGAGGTAGTTTGGCTTACGATTCAAAACTACCGAGTGCTGTAAACATTTATAAACCTCAGGCAACAGATATATGATGATGCTGCAAGCTAAATAATTTCAAACGGAAAACTCATCGAAGCGTGACACAGGTATTAACAGCAGTATCCTATCGTGACCTGCAGTTTTCCTAATTGTAGTGGACCACTTAGTAATACATATGGAGTTAGAAGACAGGCTTTGGACTGACAGAAGAACGCTAGAAGGCTGTGGTTTTGCGGATGCCTCGAAAACTCGAAGATGTACACAGGAGAACCAATAAGTCTGCAGAGGAGACAAGACTTCAAGTGAACAAGGGAAGAGAGATGACAACGATTTCAAACCAACAAAAAGAAGTATCAGTCAGCATCAGTGGAAAAAATCGAAAGGAGGTATTCTTTTTCATTTACCTGTGTCAAGGTCTCTTCATCATATATAGGTGGCACAGATGAAGATATCAGAGCCAGAAAGAATGGCTCCCGAAAATCGAAACAAGCATCCACTCATGTTGGATATCCACAGCAATTAGCGAAGCCAACATATTCAGGATTGTCATGTCAATGCTTCTATTTGGTTAAGGAGCTTAGCGTGCGCGTCTCCAGGAGCACTTCCAGCAAGCTACTGCTGAAGCAAATATGTCACTGAAACCCCATATGCTACTCGAAACACAGTGAATAATTACTAGAAGCTTGTCACTCAAAGATAACTTCTTGTGACTAACATCTCATGTATGTACAGTAAACAGCAGTGCTTTGTGTGATGCAGTCGACACACTGAAATCAGAACTACATACATGAAACCTAGGTCCAAGGCTTCCTACAACAATTCTGAGTACACTGTGATAAAGAGCCATCTGACATATTGGCGAAATTGACTTGTAGAATTCAGTCTACACCAAACAAAGAACTAGACACATGACGCCAGCTGGTGTCCAGTCAGTGTGTCTAATACAGGAGATCAATCGCAAGCCCAAATACCTCAATGATAACGTCCCCGACTGCAGTATTGCGTAACATGGGTCGGATCCCAGAAGGGAAATAAGTTCCTTTAAAATTCCAGATACGCCTTGCACACCGGTGAGTGCCAACAAATAGGAAACCTAGTTCCAGGGGTTTCCTGATGACTGCCTCTAGCCATCTGATTTTACATGTAATTATTATGCAGTCTGTCTGAATCAATAAGCCCCTCTCTCTAGGGTGTGACATACGCATCACCAGAGATATATATTACACAATAGTGACGAACTGCAGAAGAATGTGACATTTAAGGAGTGAAAGTTTATTGTGACCACCCCAAACTGCACGTCCACTAGAGAGAGCTTCCAAAACAATGAGAAACTTTTCATCAGAATGTTAATCCGAGATCTGCGGTGAACTGTCACAGATTTTAAAGCAAGGAGATATATGAATGAAGTCGTGATGGTAATCAACGAACAAATGAGAAAGAAATCCTTGAACAATTCAAAGCGGAAATTATCAGTCGAAAAGTTTGCAAATATCTTCAAAATGCAATCAGCATTAAGTGATGTGCCACATCAGCTAATCAAACCAAACTACCCTTCCGTCAAAACAAGTTACTTAATCAGAGGTAACTACTCTCCATCCAATAATTAATTAAACTAAACAGTACCAGGTAATCACAACAAAATGATCCCATAGTTCATTAATACCTCCTTACAGCTATTATTAATATCAAAAAGAGGCAAAGCTCACGTCAGGGCTGTTCCAATATTGAGACGCTTCCATTCTTCTTTTCACAGAAACACCCAGGGACCCATTCTGTGAAGCAAGAGGCACAACTTCTATCAGGACTTGATATCAATGATGACAAATAGACTGCTTGTTTGTGAGGGCTTGGCCCACATACTTTGATTTCCGACAGTGTACAAAATACACACTCCTACGGAGCTCGTGTTCTGCTTTCCTTCCTTGCGCGACTGTTGATCATTGTGTCATACAAGTACATTCCAAATAACCTTAAGGAATCAGTTATACTATAATTGGTGTGAAGATTGGTAAACTTACTAATTAAATATATTCTTACATATACACGTTCTTATTTCTTCTTAAGCACTGTAATAAGATTTCTAAGTTAAGCATAACAGATAGTTGAATATCTCAACAAATCTAGGAAACCAGATCAAGAGAGAACTATGAAAAGAGTAAATGCGACGTATTAATGAGAAATTAATTGATTGGTAGCTTTAGGGTTATTTTAAAGGTTCTAAGAGGTGCCTGTCATAGTTTAACTTAGCCGAAAATGTCTACATGACATTGAAAACTTCCCTAACATCAACTTATTATATTACGTATTCTTTACTTTCCAATTTTCAAAATAGTTTATAGTAAGAACGCGTATTAGGTAACCATTTGGAGTCAGCTGACATATATCCATTTATATTTAGCAAATATATAAGTAATGAGCAAGTGGGTGGTTAACATTGTACATTAAATAAAAAGGAAGTTCAGAGAAATGCTGTAGATGACATGGTTAAGCTGATAAAAAAATTTCCCCTTTTATTTAGGATTTGCACCATTAACAATTGGTGGTGCATCGGAAGACTGACCACCATAAACTTTGGATAATTGCTTAATTTCATCAACTTCTATCTTACGGAATAGAGGAACAGGCTAGAAGGAAAAAAGAAAATGAAAAGAAACAGAAAGCAATTCACTTTAACGATAATAAAATTATAAGATTTAGTAGTACTTTTTGGAAGTGTGTGGGCGGTTGTTACTTCCCGGCTGCTCACACCGTGGAAGTTGATTGATTCTTCAGGTACCTGAAACAGAAACACGGTTAGTGTTGCGTGACCGCAGAGCCCAGGGGACAACTGCTTGAGGCCGGTCACACACGGCTTGTATGAACTGGTTTCTGGGATTGGTTCCGTATTAGTAAACTTACCACCGGTTATGGACCACCGTAAGGTAAGTCGTGATGTACAATTTTCGAGGTCGACCTTTTCTAATACCCTCCCTCTGGAGTCGAGAGACAGCATAGCTGGCTACCATGCTGGTCATCTGAGGGAAACACCTTACTGCTAATACATCCCTGTTCCCCACCAGTACGACTTTGCCCTCAGACCCCCAGCATATTGTAAGAAAGATTCTGACACAATGGCGGTAACTGCTCTTAGTCTAATCGCTATCCTAACAACCTTCCTGGCATGGTAGGACCTGCAGAAGCATACGTTCTAGCCAGCGTAGCTTGTTGGGTCATCGCGATGTGCAAGCCCGACCACCACGTCAAGGTAGCGCCTATCGGTCGGGATTTAGTAGTACGCCGTTTCATTACGTGTCGCAGCTGCTAGGTTTTATATAATACGTTTTCAGTTTTAAGAAAATGAATACTATTTATTTCGGAGATGTAAGATACATGTGATTCGTCCATATAAATTAAAGTCATAGTGATAACTAATTAACATGAAAACTGATAGAAAGAGGATAAAACTAGCTTAAACAAGCTTTCAACCAGGATGAATCGAGACAAGATATTTATTCAGACACAGTTGGACAGCCTAGAAGCCCGATCTTATGAAACCCATATAATTCGTTATTTTTTAGCCGAACTTCCCCAGGTGCAATATATTTGTACTTAATGTACTTTTGTAAAATAAAGCCGAACGGTTCCCATCGGCAGGGACCATTCTGTCTTCTATCTTTATCGAGATGATCTCGGCCGTTCAGAAGTATTATTACATCATCACCGATATAACAAGAACATGTGTATAACACTACTAATGCAACAGTCGAGTGAACATTGAAAAGGAGGTAAAATGAAAGCACATGAACATTAGCACACAGTAGTTTAAACAGTTAGATTAGTGTAAAAAAAAACATTTAATTCAAAAGCAACTTCTTTTCATTCCTTTACGTTCCGAGTGGAATACAGGGTCTCAAGTTTTGCGTTTTGAAGTCTCTGTAACAGTGGTGCTTTTTTACAAGTGTGGGATAACTAATCCCACGTCGAACCTTCCTTTTTTCAGGGCTTCATGTTGTTTATTAAACTAAGCCAAGTTTAGGAGTGTGTCAACCGGAAATCGTCATAAAACTCACAAATATTTTGTGAGTTGTCCTAGGTAGTACTAGTGTGGTGAGAGCAGGCTGCTAGCCGATTGGTTGACACTAAGCTACGTTAATATGGGCCGTGAGAAAATATGAACAAGGCTGAGTCAACAACCAATCACAGCAAAGTTAACGTGGCAAAATATGATTCGCAGATAGAGAACTCTATTTGTCGAGGAATCCCGAAACAACCAATCAGAAGCCTGCGTTTGTCTGCCTAACTTCTGATAAACAACCAATCAGATGACTGCGCTTGTCTATAATAATGTACATGAAATATACATAAATACGTGTTGATTTTCATAATAAAACGATCTGTTGCCTGGCCCTTGTCTTCTGTTGTTACACTAGGATGCATAATGATATTTGAAATTATTCGCTTGAGAAATCGATTTTAAATACTTAAAAGTAGACTGACAAATTCTAACCATTGATCAGGCATTTAATTAGACCACACAGACACACACACACACGAGCAAGTTAAATATATTGTAATGAAATATTCCAAGAAAATATATGACACATAAAGGATCTAATAGGAGGCTTAGGGTAGGTAGACTTCGGTCTTCCTCTCAAAATGCTCTCATGTGATTGCGAGTTCACAACCTTTACTAACTAGGTCCTATTTACTGCCTTCACGCGGTGGGAGTATTCCTCACAGAAGTGAGGATGAGACGTGGTGAGCATCCAGGTCTACTTACGGGAGCCTAGAAACCCTGGTTCCAAACCTATGGTATACATGTGCTCTACAACCTGGAGACCATGCGAACACAGCTTCACTCCCCTGTAGATCAGAATTCAAGACAACCACCTGCTTTGATCTAGGTGCCAGGTTAGTATCTTAACCGTTGCACAAACTATGAGGTTTTGTGCGATGCATCTCACGCATCAAGTTTTTATTGGTGTCTTGCTTAAGTCACTGAGCTACCAGAAAATTCCACCTATCAGAATCCCTGAACTCTTCTTCATTTCTCATTATTTTAAGCATGCAATTATATTAAATGATGACTACATGAATTTGCACAAATATTTAATTAGCCTTCCGCTAAAACGCTATGCATTTCTTGAAGCAGATGAAGAGAAAAAGTTATGCAGAATTGGTTCTCGATTCATATGCAATAACACTGTGTCACATGATATACTTCAGGATATTACTTTACATATAAATCCTGTAAGAAAAGGAAATACACTGAAAATTTGTGTAGTGTGTTCACAAATAAAGCTTCACATTCATTGTTATTACATAATACAACTAACCTTTCCAATACGATGACCATCAGGTAGTAACCTTTGTAATCTGAATTCTTTTTTGATAATTTGCACAAAAGTAAGTTTGCACAATGGAAGGTCACATTGATCAATCCAAATCTGTTTTCCAATTGTAGGCATATAAGGATAAATCATAGAGCCCAGAAGACAAGCAACATTTGCAGCAATACTTATTACAACACCAGAACGTGGCCTAAAAAAATTTTTTCAATAGGTTAGTTTGAATTCATGAATGGATTAAGCATAACTACTGGCAATGAAGTTGATTTCAGTAGTGCATTTTAGACCCATTTACAAAAATGGCTTGGGTCATATATATTTAATTTCTTTGAGAGCTTAGCCATTTAAGAGTTTAAACCTACTTTAAATGTTCAAAAAATATTCATGATTACTCCGGAACTGTCTTAATAATCCAACTTTGCAGTCAAGGTTCATTTTACTTAATAATATATCCACTCTCCCTCCCATTTTTCTTACCTCTCTTATGTCTGTCTCTGTCTGGATTCAACATAGAACTTCGCACCGAAGTGCAGCAGTTCGAGTTGCCACGTTCCAAATAGCACACAGATGTAGACAAGAAGATGAGTGAAGAGAATCAATAGAGTTTGACAAATATAAGAGTGAAACAGAATGGGTAATGGTAGACACATATGTGATCATAACTCGTAAAAATTTCGACCCATAGTGTCCCGCCGTGGGTGTGGCTTTCTTGTGCGTCGGTGACACAGTGGTTAGGACTCTCGCCAACCATGCACATGGTCCGAGGTTCGATCCCCTGCCGACGCACACCTGATATCTATGGTCGGCCTGCAAAATTTGGGCTACCGATATCCATGCTAAAAATTCCATACGTGTACCAAAACTACAGTGTGAAATCAAGCTGTAATCAAAAATAAAATAAATAAATAAAAATTGTTATAAGATTATAGGTTTCCAGACCCTAGGTGTTACGATCTTCCAGGAATAATTTGAGCGCCGAGTCAGATTGATTCATTATGCTGAAGAAGCTGTGGCTTACACGGTGAAACGTCCAGAAAAATCTTGTTTTGATTTTCTTAACACACTGGGATTAATTTAAATAATTTATAATGAAAAATTGTTATACTTTATGCTTTGTTGTCTTTTATAGAAATACACGTTGGACAAGTACTTGTGCGGGGGCAAAATGTTCGAAATGTGTTCCTACCTTCCAGAAAAATTACGTCTTATTTTGTTGAAATTATAATAAAGGCGACTCACTGTTTTACAATTCTAAACTTTACATAATCTAGAAAAGCTCAAAAAGCAATAAATCGTCAAAAGTAAATATATCTATAATAAGAAAACATACTTTGTCTCCGGTTTCTTTACAGTAACCCATGGTTGATTCGCTTGAAAATAACCATTACCAAGACGAGCAATAGTCAGTACATTTCGTATAGCATCACGAAGATGACATGATTCCATATTGCGTATGTAAATAGCAAAAGTTTTATTAATTCTAGCCAAGAATTCTGTATCAACAGGTTCTAATTTTGTTATTGATGGTATAATTGAATTGAAAAATCGTGAGACAAATGAAAGCGATCTATTATTGAAAATAATAAGAAAGAGAAAACAATTAAATACATAAATTAATGTATTAGCCTAGATGGCGTATGCGAAGGAAATTACTTAGTCATAACAACATATACATAAACGGTATCTAGTGCAAAATTGGTAATAAAAGTTCCTATGTCACAAAAAGGATTTTAAAGAATTTCATACATTTGATTCCCTTGATGAATTTCGATAGAGAAAAAATGATGGAACGGTTGAAAGCTATGCGCGGGGATTAGTAAGGACACTGAACGACAGAGTCAGAAAGTTATGTTCGCCTAACAATGTAGAAGAAGATTTAAGCTATGTTGAAAAACACCTTAGGGAAAACGGGTATCCAAAGGGATTTATCCTAAAGTACAAAAAAGAAAAAGACGAGAAAGCGAAGTATCCAACAGTTGAAAAGAAGAAAGTGTCCATTTGCCTCTCAATATAAAGGAAAAGCAGTACCACAAAAGATTGACAAGAGGATGAAAGGAGCAATAAGAAGATGCCTCCCTGAAGCTAAGCTGGTGACACTATACAGCACTACATGCTCTAAAAGTCAATAGAAACGGGATAAGTAGACTGCTGACGGTATCTCCAACTGTATTTTCAAATTTATGTGCACCTGCGGCAGCAAGTACATTGGAAGGACAGAAAGAAGGGCTTCTATCCGGTTTACAGAGTATATTCCAAGAAACGTATGCTCAAAAGGAAGCAGATATTTACAAAGTGCTATAACCGGACAGCTTGTGGATAAGGGTCATTTTGTCGAGATTTTCAAATTCTTCAAAATATTAAACATAAACAGGACAGCGAATCTACTACGATTTGCTGAAGCAATTGCAATCAAACGTCTTAGACAAAACTTATGGACAGAGAAAGAGAGTGAAGTCAATCTCTCACTCCCTTGGTGACCGTATTACTTTTATTACACACTAGTGAGCTCAGCTCAATAAGCAAGTTTTCAATTTGATGAACTTTAACCTTTTTGAGTTGCTATATTGATGTACAAGCTAACACTATTCATTAGATTTCTCTGTTTTCTGTCTTCTTTCACCCCCCTCATTTCACAGTTTGATAACATATAAATTGATGGTGACTTAAACTAAAAAATTATTGTAATACTTATGTTCTGGATGCGTTCATCTTATAATGTTTTCTGTATTACCCTTCAAACACTGAAGTATGATATGTCATTATTGATATAAGCACTGTAATTTCAGGCAGTTTGCAGTTGATGAGATCCTGTGAAATAGAATGATAGTATCATTTTATACTGCAAATCTGGTCTTTCTTTCTCTATCGAAATTTATCAAAGGAACCAAATATATGTCATTTAAATTTACTTATCGCATCCTGACTAATATTACTTTCGCCTTACGAGTTTGTCTTCCTACACATATAGATGAAGCCATCAGAATCCACCTGAAGAAGTCATACTTTTGTGTTCAGAAGAAGTTCGTCCAACCACTTTCTTTACCTTGGCTATCATTACTTGGTTGCTAAAATCTGACAATTTCAGCAACCCCCTTAAGCCATTTACAAGTTATTATTTTCTTAACTACTATCTTTAATAGTTGGACTAAATTTTCTTAACATTACCTGATATTCAGTTTAGTATCATATTTTTATGCATATTATTACTTGCACATGCTTTTGGACTGTAATTCTATTGATCTTCACAACTCACTACTATGATTAGACGCTAATTAGTGACTAGTGTAATGTCTCTAATTCTTTGTTTGGTGCAGACTGCACCGACAGAAAACAATATTCTTAGCTCAATATTTTTGTCTTCTAAATGTCTAAATGAGAATTTTTACACTGAATTCATTTATTTCTACTCAGATATCAGTTAGAATAAATCCGTCGTCAACATGATGTTAACAGATATCTAAAATGTTGATGTCACTTAGCTATGATTCATTTAAAAGTTTTTCTGGAAGGAAATCTGTTAACATAGAATCTCACAGTGAGTCTAAATAGAATAATTCAAGTATATTGGTTGACTATAATGCACTGTTGCAGAAGACAAGATATGCATCTATCGTACATCTGAGGTGTAATCCCTTGGGCTTGGGAACTGAAGAATTTCAGTTTCGATTTACCACCTTTCAGTGATTACTTGCCATGTTATAATCAATTATCTCAATATGTGATGCATTTATCAATAAACATAATGCATTCAGGAGGGATATCACGTGTTTCCCGCCTACATTCAACACATATCCCGCTGGAGATAAAGTGGAAGATATTATCTACGCTATACTTATCAGTAGATTGGTGTAGATTGTACATACCTAAAAACTCAAACGAAGAAGACTGGGGTTTATGCAATTTATGGAGATTATAAAGCCGTGGTATATCTCCATCTCCAATATGCAGGAGAAAGTGGAAATGAATTGGAAACTCGCTGAGGAGGCCGCTGGGTGACATCGCGTGCGAGTCAGACCATTGCTCGAGTGGAACCCGAAAGGGAAGCGGCGAGTGGGACGTCAGTGAGAGGGTGACAAGGAGGATATTGTATGAAGAGGAGTTAAAACAGTATGGGCTAACATGGATGCAGGTGAAAAGTACAGCAGAAGACAGAAGCAAGTAGAGATGTGCAGTTGAAGCCCTATGTTCCACTAAGAACCTATGGGAACTATAATACAATAATTAATAATAATACAGTCGAGGTGAGCTAGTCTATGTTGGCTTCAAACTGAGTCACATGTGGTGATTAAAACTATTCCTTTCTGTTGTAATTTCCTAAGAGAGTTAGTCATTGGTTTAGACCGTTGAAATCACTACAGGGCTGTGATTTAGTATGATTGTTAAGCATAGATTTCACACAAAACAAGTCAATTAGATGCTCATATTCATTTTGCGAATTTATATTCACAAATGTCTAACTTGATTCCATTACTTAAGGATGAGTTAACAAAATTCAAAACTTGTCTAGGTGACAGCTGCCAACAGTGCAAGTATAACAGTCATTCTACAAATATATTTCTTTGTCCAACACAGAGAAACTTTTATAACAGTTGAGAAGAAATAAAGACCTGAATGTTAGCAAGCCTAACGAAGATGGAGGTTTAGTGTCACTAGTAAAAACGACTATACGTTACAGAAAAGTAGAAGGAATAGAGGATTTCATCATGAGCTGACATCAGTTAGAGAACCACTGGAAAACCTGGGAGTATTGAACAGTTGTCTCGTCTTAGTTTGGGACTCTTCAGCCTTGTAACCAGAAGGTCCTGGGTTCAAACCCCGGTGTAGGGTGCGTACTACTGAAGAGTCCCAAACTAGGACGAGACAGCTGTCCAGTTCTCCCAGGTTTTCCAGTGGTTCTCTAACTGATGTCAGCTCATGCAATCAAACAAAATCCCTACAAAACAATACTTGAAAAGTAGAAGGAATCCCTATGGATACACCATTAGAAAGGACCATAGACGGATACCATCAAAGTCTTAGATATGCATTACCGCTATGTGTCACTGACACATTTAAAAAAACAGGATCGATACATTTTATTGACTGTTACTAATCACTGTGCACTCACCTTATTATCACGTGATAAGGCAAAGCATTTTGTAAACAATAGAAGTTAAAAACATTAAAGCACTTACATAAACACTTATAGACAAAATAACAACCACTAAACTTACCGATTGATAAAATTCCCCAAATTGTTTAACAATTCTGAGTTATTTACCAACATGAAATCTTCCCAGATAAATGCACTATCCTGATTTTTGAAAAACAAAACACAACAAAAACCAAATGAAAATTGTAAAACAGTAAAATTTTAATACAGTGTATTATCATGCATGACACCACATGCTGTATACTTTTTTCAAATAAATTTATTCTGTGATGGAATTCTACTTTAGCACAATGCCTAAGTTCTACTCTTATATCAATTAGCAGCGAGTGTATTCAACACGAGGAAGATAAAAGTGATCTGGACCATTTTACTGGATTATCTGTTTACTGTAATCACTTGATCAGTAGTATTATTATTATCCTCTTAAGTTTCGAATGGAACATAGGGCTTCAAAAACAAATCTCCATTTCATCCTGTCAACTACAACCGTCTTTGGCTGTCTGGTTCCACAATTGCCCACTGCCTCTCATTTCTTCATCAAACAGCCTCCCTTCTGTCACCCTACAACCCATGCATAATTCGCCGTTTCCCATACGGGTTATATTCGGGGGTCATTCTACGGTGTGATGTTACTCAAGCGTCTTTTCAGCATGTGTCAGATCGACCTCCACCTTCTTCGGCATGTTGCTTGCATAGTAGGTCCCCAATTGGTTCTTTCCCAGAGTCCCTTGTTGTTAATCCCTTCTGGCAGATCATCTAATCTTCAGCATAGAGCGAGGGTAGCTGTTAATAAGGAGAATGATGCTCAGGAAAGTTTCGTGTGCTTTTGGAAGTGTGTGGGCGATTGTTACTTCCCGGCTGCTCACACCGTGGAAGTTGATTGATTCTTCAGGTACCTGAAACAGAAACAGGGTTAGTGTTGCGTGACCGCAGAGCCCAGGGGACAACTGCTTGAGGTCGGTCACATACGGCCCGTATGAAATGGTAGTAAATGATAGTAAACTTACCGCCAGTTACGGATCACCGTAAGGTAAGTCGTAATGTACAATTTTCGAGGTCGACCTTTTCTAATACCCTCCCTCTGGAGTCGAGAGACAGCATAGCTGGCTACCATGCTGGTCATCTGAGGGAAACACCTTACTGTTAATACATCCCTGTTCCCCACCAGTACGACTTTGCCCTCAGACCCCCAGCATATTGTAAGAAAGATTCTGACACAATGGCGGTAACTGCTCTTAGTCTAATCGCTATCCTAACAACCTTCCTGGCATGGTAGGACCAGCAGAAACATATGTTCTAGCCAGTGTAGCTTGTTGGGTCATCGCGATGTGCAAGCCCGACCACCACGTCAAGGTAGCAGCCATCGGTCGGGAGTAGTAGGCTTTTCTAAATGCTTTTGGTGACACGCCAAGTCTCTGAACTCTATACAGAAGAACTAACTGACTGACTTAACATTACTGTTGAAAATTCGAATCTTGTGCTTTATGCTTAGTGGAGTAGATTTCCAGGCTCACTTCAGCATAATTAGAATAACCAAAAAAGTAAATAAATATTATTCACAACAGCATCGAAAACTAACCTGCGATTCAGGTCGTCTATATAGTAAGTAAAATCGCCAAACATCTGATACAATTCCAGAATTCATTGCATTATCACCAAATACGCCAATTCCCCGACTTTTTGAAAATTTAGTATTTTCATAATTCATATACTCTAAAAAAATACACATATTGAAAAATCATCACAATAAACCATTATTAAAACAACAAAAACTCTGGAATCATAAATAAAATTTAATCATATTTGTGAATTCTTGTTGATACAACTGAGCCAATGGACAAGGAATTGATATATTTCAAGTTAGATGATGAATTGACTTCAGTTAAATAGCCACTGAGAATCAGGAAGTACTGGATAGCTCCTTTTTTCTACTTTGGGACTCTTCAGCAGAACACACCTGTGACAAAGGTTACGTGAGAAACCTAGTAGCCCATGAATTTTAACTTCCGTCCCAGTGACTGTATGGTCAACAGCCTGGCCTCTTAATCTGAGGGTCCTAATTTTGACCTCTGGCAGGGTCATGGATGCAGATCACCAAAACTAGGAATTAATAGCTGTCTAATACTCCCTGAAACCAATTTGTGACTTAACTCCTGATCAGCCTCATTTCATGGAGGTGACTTGACGTAGACTTTATCTATTTTTAAAATACAGAGGAAATAATAAAATTACACTAAAATAAACAATAACAAAGACAACTGTCATTCAAGGAAGGACAAAGGCATACTGAATAGTATTGGTGTGTGGAACAAAATGGTTAGTGAATTACATATATGTACATATAAGAAACAGAATATAGTACTCATCCAAGGTAAACCACCAGTGGCGGGAGTTTACACTAAAATAACCAATAATCACATGATAATCACAAGAGACTAAGTCAGGTCATACAGATTAGTGAACTGTCATAAAGTCTGTCTGTCGTGATTAACATACCACGATAATAAGAGAATGTTACACGTAACTCATGCCTAAAAAGAAAAAAACTATGCGCTTGAGCCACTTTTTCATGAGATACTTTACTATATGAAAAAATACAAGAAACAGGGTTTCCACTTCTTGTGTACCGGCACAAATACTATCGACAGCATTTATTATATTACGGCTATCCCTACCTAAGGTCGGCGTAGCGTTCAAAGTGAAGACAAGAGTAAGACAAGGCTGCCAACCATCATCGACGACATTCCTAATTGAGGCTGACTGGTTAATCTGCCAGACTGTGGGGGAGCGAGAAGACGAGTATGAGTCAGACGAACAAAAGGATTAGAAGATCTAGATTTTATGAGTAGTTTATGTCTAGTGTAACACAAAATCGAAGATTTACAGGCGAAAACCAACAAGATGGTAAAAAAGGTAGGGATTGGAGACAGGAATTCAAGTGAACATAGGGAAGACAGAAATGATGTCCAACCCGGAACCCAACGGTACAATAATATTATCATAATAAAACAAAATATTCTCTTACCTGTAGATAATAAGTGTTTTACAACAGTATAACCATCATCAGCTGCTAAGAGACATGAAGGAAATATAATTGCATGAAAAGGAACATTATCTTTAGCCATAAATTGAAATAATTCCACTTCAATTTCATCATCACCAGACTGAATGGATGGTTGCCACCATTGTTGCCAATCTTTTGTATAATTCGCTGTAATTGACATATAACCAATAGGCGCATCAAACCAAACGTAAAATACCTGAAGAATAAAACAAGTGGAAAATTAAGCCTACCGATAACATGACACTTCATATTATATGAAGTAAAGCTGAAATAAAGGAAACTCCGGCAAACACTGTCCTCAGTCAATCATGTAAACAGAAGTAGAAAATAAAGGTAGTGGTCTCCTTTTTGTCAAAACAAGAAACAACCTTATATTATTACATAACAAACAATCTTAACCTGTGGAGTGAAGGTACAATGATCCAAATTAGTCAGCATAAAATAACTTTGACCAATTAGTCATATTGTAAAGATGATGAAGGTTAAACAATGTAATAATGACTATAAAAAGTAAGCATTACAAGTTGTGCAGTACACGTGTATTACAGTTATTCACCTGAAATAAACTGAATTTTAAACGTAGAACTTTGCATACACAAAACAAAGGCAACAGTTCAAGTTGTCACACGTTTAGAAAGAAAAAACACAAAGGTAGAGCAGAAAAGAAACACAAAAAAATGCTAAAATAAATGGAAATGTACAAGTAAAAGAATGTATATGCGTAGAGAATATTGAGAACTTAATGGATCTGCACTATTGGAAACGACTTTCTTTCAACCACGTCACAAACATATAAGAATAAAACTTGTGCACTGTGGTAGAGTATAATTCCATTATACGTAAAATTCATTTTGACAATGCCTTGTAACCAGAAGGTCCTGGGTTCGAATCCCGGTGGGTGCGTACTGCCGAAGAGTCCCAAACTAGGACAGAGGAAACAACTGTCCAGTACTCCCAGGTTTTCCAATGGTTCTCTAACTAATGTCAGCTCATGATGAAATCCTGAAACCAATCAAATCCCTACAAACCAATACCTGAACGTCTCACAGTGTTATACAATAATATTTACTGATGACCACGTTTCAAGAACAACTTATTACTGCTCATGATCATATCAAGACAATACTCACACAACTTTCTAACTTCGTTTATTTAATTCCATTATTTTCCATCGCTTGATTTGATTGGCAGTAGTAGTAGTTTCCATATTTCGGGTATGAGTGATGAGTCATTCCTTTTGCATGTGTTGGGTGAGTAGACTCGATGAACAAGGATTCAGTAATCAATCTCTCTCTATCTCCATTATGGGTAAATTTTGTTTTGATAAAGTCTCACAGTGTTATACAGTAATGTTTAACAGTAAACATTACTGTATAACACTGTGAGACTTTATCAAAACAAAATTTACCCATAATGGAATTACACTCTACCACAGTGCACAAATTTTATTCTTATATCTCTCTATCTCCACCTACCTAGATTACTTCTTAGAGTCTTAACCTTCCCCCCCCATCCTATTGTGTGGTTGTGTGTTAATGCATGCAGTGCTATTGGTGAGCTTTTTTCTAAATTACTCATCTTCTTGGAGTCAACCATTCTAACATTCACTAAATTCTTATGTTCCATCAATCTGACTACGCCGATCTACTGGTTTGACATTTGTAGTTGACCTCACAGTCATCACAAGGTATTTCGTCAATTATATTATTCTTTCTGATTGGGTCATCTGGATCCTCTAACCTAAAGAGCTTGTCCCCGAGTAAGTTTGTAGGTTTAAATGTCACTCTAATTCCTGCTTTATTAAGAATCCTACGTCGGGTCCATCTAAACGTATGCATGATTAGACTTTACAGATCTCAAGTTTCTTACTATGAGAGAATTAAAATAAGGACACTGAAGATTATTTAAGATAAGTGCTACACTTAAAAATTCTATTCAGTTATAGATTACAGAAGATACCTAGATAATACAGAAGAAAAAACACAATAATAACATGAATAATAGAGAATTTCACATTAGGCAAAACACCACTTACTACATGATACAATTTAAAATGTTTAATATTATCAATGTGTGTATGTGTGTGTGTGTGTGAGTGAATTAAGCATTCATAATTACCTTATCCTTAAAATTTTCAAGAGGAACTGGTACACCCCAGTGTAGATCACGTGTAATACATCTTGGCTTCAGACCATCTCTTAGCCATGTATTTGATATGTTACAAGCATTAGATGTCCATATACATGAAGGATCGTCTACGCGTTGTTCAATAAATGCACTCAATTTACTTTCGATCTAAAAGAAGACGAAATAGAAGATCATTCTTATTAAATATAATCACATAGAAATATGCTAACTAATAGGATTGAGAATATTTCCCACTCTGTAGGAGGGCAATAATTGTGAGTATGCACACAAACATTAATTGCAACTGAAAAGAAAACCAACGTTATAACAAAATTCAAACCAGAGCTTTGTGAATTTAGGTAACCAGAAATATGCTAACTTAGTTACGAGACTCAAGTGTTATTTGTAGATAACTAAAATCAGAGTGAGACACAGTTTAATCCATAGAACTACCAGTGTGGTGAGAGCAGGCTGCTAGCCGATTGGTTGGCACTAATCTACGTTAAGGTCTAGGTCACTAATATGGGCCGTGAGAAAATATGAACAAGCCTGAGTAAACAACCAATCAGAAGCCTGCGTTTGTCTACCTAAACAACCAATCAGATGACTGCGCTTGTCTATAATAATGTAGTTGAAAGATGTATAAATACGTGTTGATTTTCATAATAAAACGATCTGTTGCCTGGCCCTTGTCTTCTGTTGTTACATTTGGTGTCGCTGCCTACCGACAAATGGAAAGCCTATGCCCTGCTGTTTTCGATGGAGACATATGGATCTTCGGGCAGGACTTCAAGGCTTCTGCGCAGTTGAGTGGCGTTCAAGATCTGTCAGCGATGGAGCTGCTACTTGGGACGCTGCTGGGAGGTCGGGTGAAAGCAGCATATGAAAGTGTGAGCCGAAGTATGGACGAATGTTCGACAGGGTCAGGCAAACAGTTTCCAAAGTGGGAAGGACCATATATGGTCACTTCGAGATGGGGTTACGCAGACACAGTCGCAATGGCGAACAATGAGAGGCGCGTGAACGTCAGCGAGCTCCAGAAATGGATACAGCGAGACAAGCCAACGATGACGCCTGCACCAAGTAGATCAAGCCGACATCAGTCGCACGTATTTGACGGGGGGACGAGTGTGGTGAGAGCAGGCTGCTAGCCGATTGGTTGGCACTAATCTACGTTAAGGTCTAGGTCACTAATATGGGCCGTGAGAAAATATGAACAAGCCTGAGTAAACAACCAATCAGAAGCCTGCGTTTGTCTACCTAAACAACCAATCAGATGACTGCGCTTGTCTATAATAATGTAGTTGAAAGATGTATAAATACGTGTTGATTTTCATAATAAAACGATCTGTTGCCTGGCCCTTGTCTTCTGTTGTTACACCAGGACAGTGATTCAAAAGCTACTGATTATCTCACATTTCTTATTCTTATTCTTAATAGAGTGCAGAAGCAAAGACAGAGTTGATGAAGACTTTCGACACATGGTAGAGAAGATTTGTAGCTCAGATGGATGATTTTGATGTGGTTGTGTTAATTTGCAAAGCTTTCATCGGCCTACTAGGCGACATCTTCAATTTGAAGTGAGCCTTTAGATTATTATTATTATTCATCTCTCCCGGTGACCTTGGTCGTGATTAGTTGTTTTTGCGTGTTTTCACACCTTCTAGGTTACCTGTATTCGAACTGATTGTTTCTTTGACTTGAACTTTGACCCTTTTTGTGTGAGGTTTCTTTCTTATCGGTTGATAAATTTTGTGTATCTCGATGTGTCTATTGATTGACACACTACGAACATCATTCACCATAAATTTTTTTCCCTCACGTTCCCAGTGGAACATAGGGCTTCAAACTAGTGCCTTTAAGTTTCTGTAGCACTGTTTATTTTTACAGGATGGGGTTGCTAGCCTCATGCCCAACCTTTCCTCTTTACCACCATTATATCTGGCTTAGCGAGGTGAAGGAGTGCGTCGGTGGCCGGGGATCGAACCCCAGACCATGTGCATGGTCGGCGAGCGTCCTAACCGCTGTGCCACCGACGCACTACATTTACATAAATGGAAGGAATCGAAAGGTAGTCGTCCATTTCGCTTATCTGGGCAAGCAGTATCGTTTTACCCACGAACGGCGCGGATGTGGTTGTCAAAGCATGCAGAGATCGGAACAAGAAAGCAAGCCGACACTACGAAATCAGTATTAAGACCTGCAGCACTCAGCACAAGGAACAGCATCAGAATTTTCAACATCAATGTCAAATCACTGCTTCTATATGGTTCAGACACATGGTACGCGCGTCACCAAAAGGATTTCCAACAGGCTACTGCAGACTTTTACCAATACCTGCCTTCGTTACCTCAACAGTGAAGCTTAAAAAGTTGATCAAACGAAAAGCATAAGGAGCTCTAGTAGTGCAACGAACCATTCAAGAATATATTACTCGAAAAAATAGGCTGAAATAAACAGAGATGGAGTGGACATATGCTGGATGTTTAAGTGACATCATACACCAGGTTGTTGAGTGAAACCTGAATGGATACCACAGAGAGACTTGGAGAGGATTATGCGCGAATGAAATGAAAGCTTCTATGCAGCTGTGAAGCCAACAAAAAGTGATGACAGCGAAGCTAGTGGAATGGTGGTGGTATGCATGAGGTTAGAGCCCGATGGCTTCACTTGTAACGCAAAGAGCTCTTATTCTAACCCAAAAATTACCATCTAATGCATCATGAAGGAACGGGCATAAATAATAATATTACCTTTGGTAAGTCAAGAAACAGATGACGTGATGAACGCACAACTGGCTTATGACGACATATTTTACAACGTGGTTCTATAAGTTCAACAGCATTCATAAGACGTCCACATTTATCGCATTGATCGCCACGAGCATCATCATATTTACACAATGGGCAAATTCCTTCAACAAAACGATCAGCTAGAAATCTTTGGATACAAAAGACAGAATAATTAATATATTAGTACTTTATAAACTGAAAAAAATATCAAAAATGTATAAATACCAGGAAAAGTCCAACTGAACATTGAATTCGAGTTTTGGTGAAGAAGTAATTCTATGTCAATTTAGGGATTATGGTAAACTGCATGTTTCAGTTCGTTTGGACTCAGTTACCCGGAATAGACTTTCTGTGTATCACACGATGAGCCAGACATAGTTCGTGAAGACTAATGATATTACCCATTTCCCCAAGCTAAAGCAAATAAAAAAGGACTTGAACCTGGGATAAACTGACTGAAGTCGAATGCTTAAGCCAATGACCCACATCTACACAGTTTTATGGAGAGGCAAAGATTTCAAAGTTCAAATTAGGATAACACAGTTGCAGATCATTTGCTGTCACTCTCTATTGGATAAGACATTAAGGTTAACATAATATCACTCTATATATCTTTGAACATAAGAATGACACATATTTAACGTACACACTGAACTAAAAATATTACTGTCCAGCCAAAAGGGTTAGAATCCATAGTCTAGTGGTTGATGACTGAGTGTCTTAACAGTAAAACACGCTTTACATTTCCATAAATCAAGTATTTATTAACATAATTATGATTTCGATTGACAAACTTAATAATCCCTGCATTCCTTTTCTTTTTTAGGTTCCAAGTGAAAAATAGGGCTTCAAGATATGAAGATTTCTTGTTTTACGAGGTGGAATTGCTAGCCTCACACCTAATCTTGACTCGTTAGCAGACTTGCTACTGGTTAGTAAACTTGGTGAAGTCTAAATATTTATCGGCCGGAAATCGAATCCGGATCATCACGGTGAAAGCTAGGAATCCCCACCGCTAGACTATGTGAGGAACATAAGAATCTGGGTCCGCGATAGGATTTGAATCACCAGCCTCCAAGATACTATTCTAGTGCCGTACCAAGTGAGCTACGAGGCACAACTGCCCCTGTGCATTAAGTTTTTTTTTAAATTTTATTTCATTACTTATTTCTCTTACATAAGCAATTAAGCACTTACCAGAAGATATTTATTTATTTATTTAAACGCATAAAAACTTGGTACAATATGGCACCAAGAAGGATGCGCCACACAATAATAATAAAACAACATAGATCAAAAGAAGAAAGAAAGAGAAAAAATATAAGTAAGTAGAGAACGGATAAAGAACTTCATGCTTAGCAAGTTCAAACAGTATTCGTTAACAATCATCGGGAAGGGAAGAAAGAAGGAAACTGCAAAACGTATAATAGCACGCGATAAGTTTCGTTAATTGTTTGTTGCTTTATTCAATTCATTGTGTGAGGGCTGAGATACTACTCGGGCGCCCAAACCGAAGCAGGTGGTTTTCTTAAGGGACCACCCTCGGAGCCTTTGACTTGGAGTCTAATCCACAAGGCAGCGAAGCAGCGTCAGGAGCTGCCGGTGACCCATATGGGTTCATACACCATTTGATCCGATTGGATACTGGAGCCCATGTACCCGTGATAACTACTTTTAGTTTAACCGCTATCCAAACAACCTTCCTGACATGGTAGGACGTGCAGGGACAGAGTCCCAGTCAGTTTAGCATGTTGGGTTATTACGGTATTCAAGCCCGACCACCACGACAAGGTAACAGTTATCGGCCGGGACTAGAAGATATAAAGGTCGAGGAATTATTTTAGCTAAATCTAACACAAATAAGTAGAACAATATAGTGTACCAATGTTGTTAGCTAACTAAACATTTAAGATGAAAGACACTCATGATGTTAAACTTCTAATCAAAAAAAAATAATAATTAATCTACATAATTATCCACTATAATTTTATCCATTTAAAAGGTTGACAGTGTGAAGACAAAAACAAAAAGAATAATTAAAACCTTACTTTGAGCATTTTTCGCAATAAAGCTGTTCAACAGAATCTTCACTGATAAAACCTTTATCCCATAAACGCTTAAACAATCCTTGTACAATCCTGTAGAAATAAATAAATAAATAAGAATCAAAGTGATTCACAATTGAATACATTCGTATCTGAACAACAAAAAAATATTTAGAGCGAACAATTGTGGTTTCAATAAATTCTTCTTTAGGCTCTACAATTATAAATCCATTAATTAATTTAAGCATACAATAGTCAGTCAGCCAGTAAAGGCAAATTAGAATCATATCAGAAAGTGTATTATGGAACAAGTATAAGATGGAATGGAACAATAGTCAGTTAGGTTTTTAATATGCATGGTCAATGGGACAAAATGAGACGAAGTAATTTAATTATATATATATATATATATATATATATATATATATATATATATATATGTTCTTTCTTTGGTCCAGACTGGATTTTATCAGTCAGGTTAGCAATGTGGCCACCATTCTAGGTAGCTCACCATCATGGTGCACATTGATTTTATGATATTAGATATTTAGAGGCAATCGGACACGGGAAACCTTGAACCTAGGTTTCGTGCTAGCTGTCACTCACAAGTCAGCAAGGCGCATCTGCTGCAACCTTGAAGGAACTTATGTCTCTTCTGAGATGGGAAGATTAAACGATATTCGTTACGCAAAAAGCATGAAATTCAAAGGAATTATGAGACACGTCCTACTGACAAGTATTGAACTAGACAACCGAAGTGAAGCGCATTTTACAGGCATATTCTGAACGAATATCTACCTTTATGATATTACATTACTTTATATTTTTTTCACTAATACAGTTGATATTTCAGTGAAAGTATCCAAATAGACCTCAGTATAACTGATTTTCACTACACCGATATCACAGAATGGTATATTTAAATGTAAGTTTGAATTAAGAGAGCGACTATACTTATTTTATACAAATAATGTGGAGGATATAATCGTCATTTCAGTAAATCAATACCTTTTAAGCTTAACAACGACGAAAAGATGTTACATATGTGGAGTTATTCATTTTAAGGATAAGGGATTTAAACCTCTGAGAAAATGTAAGTTTTGTTACGGTTTCAAAATACGTTGTAATGGGTAATTCCAACAAGCATCAAGCAAAGGTCTGGAATTAAATGGTGACATACACACATATATATTGTTTAGCCTTATTTTTTTGTATTTTATTCTTTTACGTTCCCAGTCGGACATAGGGCTTTAAGTTTCGGTAGCAGTGGTGTTTACTTCCACGGGATAGGGTTAGTAGCCTAATGCCCAACCTTCCCTCGTTGGCAGCCTTATTACTAGATAAGCGAGGTAAAGGAGTGAGTCGGCCGGGGATCGAACCCTGAGCCACCGACGCACTTGTTTAGCTTAGTGCTTCATATTAAAAGTCCAGTCGATCCAAGAATTGTATTCTCAACCAACTGGAACAATTATTTTCCATGCACCAGGCTATGAGGCAAACTTATCATGTGATATGTTGTAATACTAACCAGTTACCCAGGCCGAAATAGGTGGAGGTGAATTCCAACCCAGGACCTATTCGCTGATAGCCAAATCCTTAAGTCAATAACGCCCACCTCTACTTAATCGATGGACTTAAATAATGTGGAAGATTTAATAAATAGCCGTTATATGACTAATTTACGTACATTTTTGGACTATTCCGAAACTGGAACTACAACTACTTTAATTGGACACCAGGTAGTAACCAGAATAGACGCATGACACAAATTACTACCTAGTATCCAATCAAAGTATATAATACAGTTCTACAGGAGGCCAGGACAGCTCAGTAGCAACGTCTCTGACTGCAGCAGTGGGTGATGTGAGTTCAAATCTCAGAAGGGACATGAGTTCTTTCAAGGTTGAAGATATGCCTTGCTGACGACTGCTAACAAGATCGTGACTTAAGTCCAAGGCTTCCTGCCAATTACCTCCAACCATGCTATAAACTAAGTAAAACTGAGTACTACTAGACAATGGACTCCGACTCAATCGGCAGCTGATTTCCATTTTTTCGTGTTTTCTTTAAACTATAGCTTGTGTAATAATAGAAACGGTAATAAGTTAATACAGTCAAACGACAACAGAACTAACAGTACACTTAGGTATCTAGAAAAGTAAATATAATTATGATGGAAGTAGCGTTTTTTTCAAAATAACCAAAAATGTCAAATGAACATTACTCAATCACTTACTCAGTATGCTTTTCTGTAGTAGTTCGTCCAAAATAATCAAATTCAATTTGAAACCATTTGTATATATCACAGTGTAATCTATGGTATTTATCACAGATTTCACGTGGAGTCATATTTTCTGAGACAGCTTTTGCTTCAGTCGCTGTACCATATTCATCTGTACCACATATAGACAAAACATTATATCCGGCTAAATCACAATATAAGGCGAATACGCTTGCACTTAGTGTTGATCCAATCATATTCCCCAAATGTGGTACATTATTTACATAAGGTAATGCTGATGTGATTAATACATTACGGATCCCACTACGTTTAGGTTGCGGTTTTCTGGGGGAAAACAAAGGAGTAAAGATTTTAATGGCACTACAGTTCAGCTTATTGATACCCTTTATGGAAATCGGCTCAACAACAAACTATAAAAATTAAAAAGTACAAAAAAATAATTAAATTATAAAGCAAATGAATTTGGAACAAGGGTCTGTATTAGTTTCAGTTACATCTCTTAGGTTTCTAATCAGCTATTTATGCTAGTCGTGAAACTGAAGACTTGATCTGTGGTGAAATTTTCAGTTTTTTTTCCTTCACGTTCCCCAGTGGAACATAGGGCTTCAAGCTAGTGGCTTGAAGTTTCTGTAGCAGTGTTTATTTTACAGGATGGGGTCGCTAGCCCCATGCCCAACCTTTCCTCTTTACCAGGATTATTTCTGGCTTAGCGAGGTGAAGGAGTGCGTCGGTGGCCGGGGATCGAACCCCGGAGCATGTGCATGGTCGGCGAGCGTCCTAACCGCTGTGCCACCGATGCACTCAATTTACTGAGGCTAATATTCACTTACGGTCATCCGCGAATTCCCATCTACCCAAAAACATAGAGTCATGAGTTTGGTTGAGAACAGAATCTAAATCTTGAAACAAATAGGTTCTAGTAATACACAGAAAATTACATTAGGTAGCGATTAAATGATACACATTTATGGGTAGTCTGACATAAGTCGAAAAATTTACGAATGAAAAAGATCAAGTGGGAATAGAATATGATCAAAGAGTCAAACAAGGTAACGATAAGGACAAGCAGCATCAAGCTCTTCAAGTTATGAAGATCTGACCAAGATTTAGGCTGACACACAATTAAAGCGTTAAAACTAATCATTGTAGAGAATAAAACAAATTATGATTGAAAGTAAATCCATTACTATTAAGCTAATCAAATGGCGACAACTAATCAACTACACAGAATTCATTAATCATAAGAAAGCGGATCACGATGATAGATCCAGATAAATCCATCATTTGTTCTACATGTACGTGTTCATTTGAGAAAATTAAACAAGGGGAAATCAGCCAAAAACGCTGAGCGAAAAAAAAAACAACCTAAGTGAATAACACTCATATATGTACGAGAGATCTAAGTCTCGATTAATTTATAATTAGCATTTTATATGGTTATCCGAAAATAACTTGAAGCTTTATGTTGAAGAATGCTACCTTGGAGGACACTACTACAGGAAGACTTACAGGACAGACTGCAAAAAATTTTGAGAGTTTGACAGTCAGTTTTCCGAGACGCTGCAGCAGGGAAAGTATTAAAAGCCAAAGAGGAATCATTATACAGAGGAATGGCGAAAATTACAGAAACTAGATTACTCCTTGACTAACACTTAGGGGAACATATTAATTCGAACAAGCGACAAGACAAAAAAAGAACAAAAAGCACAAATAAATTATTTTTTCATCACTACTAAGCAGTACTGAGCAGTAATCCTTTTGTTTTAGAGAAACTTCAGGGCTAACATTCATTTCTTCGATGTGAACTTATCAAGGAGGACCGATGGAATTTTGAAGAGATCGATTTATCGAAAGCTGTCATGGAATGGTCAACTGACAAATTTCTACAGCTGGGTACCCATTGGTCGAAAACGAAATCTGGTCCGGTCGCTTGCCACTCGCATTCGGCGCATATGTAGCCCTAATACTGCGAAAGATGAGTTATACCTTTTGAGGGAAATCCTAATAGAAAATGGATTTCACACATTTGGTTACCTTGATAAATTTCGATAAAGAAAGGAAGACGAAATTTGCAGTATAAAGTGATATCATTCTATTTCACAAGTTCTCATCAGCTGCAGACTACCTGAAATTACAATGGTTATATAGGTGATAATAACATACTTTAATGTTCGAGTGGTGGTAGAAAAGAGATACTATAAAATTGACGCATCTAAATGAAAGCATTACAATGTTGTTGTTTTTTAGTTTAAGTTTTCATCATCAATTTATACGCTTTTTAAAGTTGAAAAGAGGGGGAAGGCTAAGAGAGAAAACAGAAAAATTGATTAACAGAACAGTGTTAGCTTTTAGGTTCACACAGCAACTCAAGAAACAAAATAACAAAAACGGTTACAGTTTATGAGATTAAGATTTGTTCAGTGAGTTGAGATCACTGAATTAGATGATTAATCAAAATCAAAATTCTGTTACCAAGGGAGTGAGAGGTTAATCACACTCTCTTTCTGTATGCATAAGTCTGGTTTAAGTCTTTTGATTGCGATTGCTTCGGCAAATCGTAGTGAATTTGCTGTCCTTTGTCTATTTGATATTTTGAAGGACTTAGAAATCTCTACGAGATGTCCGGTATCAATAATGTGTATGGTTATTGCACTCTGGGAATATCTCCTTCCTTTCAGGCACAGGTTTTTGGGAATATGTTCAGAAAACCGGATAGAAGCCCTTCTTTCTGTCCTTCCAATGTACTTGCTCCCGCAAGTGCACGTGAATTCATAAACGCAGTTCGAGGTGACATCAGCAGGGTATTTATCCAGTTTTGAGCGTATTAAAGAAGGAGTGGTGCTGTATACTGTTATGAGTTTTGCTGCTGGGAAGCTTCTATTTATTGCACCTTTCAGTCTTTTGTCAATCTTTTGTGACACTGCATCTCCTTTGTATGGTAGACAGATAAACACTTTTTTCTTTTCTACAGTTGGATGCTTTTCTTTCTCATCTTTTTCTCTGCTGTACTTCTGAATAAATCCCTTAGGGTATCCATTTTCCCTTAGGCATTTCTCGACGAAAACTAATTCTTCTTGGATCCTGTTCACCAAACAGGCACAGGTTTTTGGGAATATGTTCAGAAAACCGGATAGAAGCCCTTCTTTCTGTCCTTCCAATGTACTTGCTCCCGCAAGTGCACGTGAATTCATAAACGCAGTTCGAGGTGACATCAGCAGGGTATTTATCCAGTTTTGAGCGTATTAAAGAAGGAGTGGTGCTGTATACTGTTATGAGTTTTGCTGCTGGGAAGCTTCTATTTATTGCACCTTTCAGTCTTTTGTCAATCTTTTGTGACACTGCATCTCCTTTGTATGGTAGACAGATAAACACTTTTTTCTTTTCTACAGTTGGATGCTTTTCTTTCTCATCTTTTTCTCTGCTGTACTTCTGAATAAATCCCTTAGGGTATCCATTTTCCCTTAGGCATTTCTCGACGAAAACTAATTCTTCTTGGATCCTGTTCACCAAACAGGCACAGGTTTTTGGGAATATGTTCAGAAAACCGGATAGAAGCCCTTCTTTCTGTCCTTCCAATGTACTTGCTCCCGCAAGTGCACGTGAATTCATAAACGCAGTTCGAGGTGACATCAGCAGGGTATTTATCCAGTTTTGAGCGTATTAAAGAAGGAGTGGTGCTGTATACTGTTATGAGTTTTGCTGCTGGGAAGCTTCTATTTATTGCACCTTTCAGTCTTTTGTCAATCTTTTGTGACACTGCATCTCCTTTGTATGGTAGACAGATAAACACTTTTTTCTTTTCTACAGTTGGATGCTTTTCTTTCTCATCTTTTTCTCTGCTGTACTTCTGAATAAATCCCTTAGGGTATCCATTTTCCCTTAGGCATTTCTCGACGAAAACTAATTCTTCTTGGATCCTGTTCACCAAACAGGCACAGGTTTTTGGGAATATGTTCAGAAAACCGGATAGAAGCCCTTCTTTCTGTCCTTCCAATGTACTTGCTCCCGCAAGTGCACGTGAATTCATAAACGCAGTTCGAGGTGACATCAGCAGGGTATTTATCCAGTTTTGAGCGTATTAAAGAAGGAGTGGTGCTGTATACTGTTATGAGTTTTGCTGCTGGGAAGCTTCTATTTATTGCACCTTTCAGTCTTTTGTCAATCTTTTGTGACACTGCATCTCCTTTGTATGGTAGACAGATAAACACTTTTTTCTTTTCTACAGTTGGATGCTTTTCTTCCTCATCTTTTTCTCTGCTGTACTTCTGAATAAATCCCTTAGGGTATCCATTTTCCCTTAGGCATTTCTCGACGAAAACTAATTCTTCTTGGATCCTGTTCACCAAACAGGCACAGGTTTTTGGGAATATGTTCAGAAAACCGGATAGAAGCCCTTCTTTCTGTCCTTCCAATGTACTTGCTCCCGCAAGTGCACGTGAATTCATAAACGCAGTTCGAGGTGACATCAGCAGGGTATTTATCCAGTTTTGAGCGTATTAAAGAAGGAGTGGTGCTGTATACTGTTATGAGTTTTGCTACTGGGAAGCTTCTATTTATTGCACCTTTCAGTCTTTTGTCAATCTTTTGTGACACTGCATCTCCTTTGTATGGTAGACAGATAAACACTTTTTTCTTTTCTACAGTTGGATGCTTTTCTTTCTCATCTTTTTCTCTGCTGTACTTCTGAATAAATCCCTTAGGGTATCCATTTTCCCTTAGGCATTTCTCGACGAAAACTAATTCTTCTTGGATCCTGTTCACCAAACAGGCACAGGTTTTTGGGAATATGTTCAGAAAACCGGATAGAAGCCCTTCTTTCTGTCCTTCCAATGTACTTGCTCCCGCAAGTGCACGTGAATTCATAAACGCAGTTCGAGGTGACATCAGCAGGGTATTTATCCAGTTTTGAGCGTATTAAAGAAGGAGTGGTGCTGTATACTGTTATGAGTTTTGCTGCTGGGAAGCTTCTATTTATTGCACCTTTCAGTCTTTTGTCAATCTTTTGTGACACTGCATCTCCTTTGTATGGTAGACAGATAAACACTTTTTTCTTTTCTACAGTTGGATGCTTTTCTTTCTCATCTTTTTCTCTGCTGTACTTCTGAATAAATCCCTTAGGGTATCCATTTTCCCTTAGGCATTTCTCGACGAAAACTAATTCTTCTTGGATCCTGTTCACCAAACAGGCACAGGTTTTTGGGAATATGTTCAGAAAACCGGATAGAAGCCCTTCTTTCTGTCCTTCCAATGTACTTGCTCCCGCAAGTGCACGTGAATTCATAAACGCAGTTCGAGGTGACATCAGCAGGGTATTTATCCAGTTT